TGCTTGTACAGATCATGGCACATACAATCTCGTCAAGGCACCACGGTGGCGTGATGTTAACTACCCGACTCTGATTGCCTGTGTATTTGGAATTTTCATGTTCTCCCCGTGTTTGTGTGGATTCTTCTCCGGGTCCTCCGAATCAATGTGGATAGAATTTCCACGTAATAAACCACTTCGTTAAACTCCCATTTGTGGCCAAGTCGATTCAGAAAAAGAACTACATTGCTCAGTGAGTTTTAACTGGTAAAATAAAATACATTTAGTGGTTTAGTATAAGGTGAGAAGCCTACACAAGTAGTTCTATGGTGGCATCTTCCAGGACCGTTCCCTGACTTGATGCAACGCTGTGCTGACTGTTGAGGTTATTGAATAAATCTTCTTGTTCACTCAATAAGGACGAGCCAAATTAGTGCTCTGAAGCCCTGCTGGTACGGTGCCATGATTTGGAAGCCATGCTGCTGTCACGACGAGATTACATTGTCACTCGTGCAGTATAATTACAGAGTGTGCATTAGGGGGCATTGTTGTTATTTTAAGTTACATAAGCGACGATAACTATCATGCCTCAAGCGTAACTCCTTTTGCTCTTTCATCGCTGGAAGTTTAACTTTTCTCACGTAGAATAATCTTTAAACGTGTTTATTATCCATCTGTACAGTCATTTCACTCTCGACTTAGCGACCAACTTATTGTGGCCCCATAAGTGCATATTTTCAATGTTATAATGGCCGCGTTGCATTATTTGGCGATGAAGGGTAAAATGTCTCGATCTATCTGTGGGATTTATGGATCACAACACAAATTGAGCCACCAAGCGCAAGCGATAGCGACGCACAGAACAAGGTGCCCTCGGGGTGCAGTACAGAAAATAGGTTCACTCATTGTTTGCGTGGAGTTTGCACTAAACGTGTAAGCGTGGGTCTTCTCCGGGCACTGAACTTTCCTCTAAATGCCAAAAAAATAAAAGAATTGTCCAAACTTATGAAATAGGATTAAAGTAATCCAATCACCGTACTGTAATATTTTCATTATTAGGTTATGCAAATTAACATGTTGACTTATCCTTAGATTTAAGAGCATTGTATTGAGTATAGGTTTTCACAGCCGACGCTCAGTATAATAATAATTGTTGCAGTTATACGGCATTGCTTAAATGCCTCAGCAACTCACAGCCCCTTAAATGACATATCATCTGAACCAAATAAACTATTACAATGGACAACAATTTTATTTGACCAGGTAAGACCCACTGCAACTATGCAGATCTTTCTCAGAAGTGACCTGGATATAACAAATGATAGCTCAACGAAGTGGCTTATCATGTGGAGATTTATAGCAAACAAATACTATAAATGCATGTTTCTAAGCGTGGAGGGAAAAGTCGGAGGTCCTACAGATAATCCACGTGACCACGGAGAGAACACACAAACTCCAAATATACAGGCGTCAGGGTCGGGATCAAACCCACAACCTACTATATACCAGGCGTGGCAGTTGAGCATCTCGCCACTGTGGCGCCCGTAATAAAGGGTGACCCCCAGTGGCAGCTGTCCCTGTGTGGCACAAGGTGACTCAGCACTGGCCTAAACGTGGAGAATAGTTTGTCGGTAAGGGGCGGCAATGGTTGCTCTGTGTTCTAACTGAGTACTTTGCAGGAACGTTCTGTAATTTGGGAAATTTTAACCATGACGCCGGCACACTCTTTAAGATTACATCCCGCGATCAGTAACACACTTTGAAGAAAAATGTCACGTACTACGGTTAAATATTAACCAGGGTGGCCTGTCAGATTCAAATCGTGAACCTCTCCAACATGCAACGAACGCATTTGCCTTTGAGCAATATTCACTGTCCCACGCTACAGTTCAAGTATCAAAGGGAAACGGCAAAGGATGAATTACAGAGCTGCAATTTCTTTCTTATGCCAATGCTGGTGGAAGGGCCTCCCCTAGAGGGGCCCTCTAGAAAGTCTAGAGGATATTGGGCTGTTCTTTCACGCTGGCTAGTACATACGCTTTACCCCACCACATTGCGACCCGCCGATTAACAACGTGTGGGGCATCCAATTGTACTGCTGTGAGGACAGGCGTGAGGCGTCTTTTAAGGGACGTGCCCATTGTTTCAACTGCCGTGCCAGGAGATCTAAACCGGTAAACTCGAAATCAGTTTAACACGTAAGCTTTCGCGACCAATATCATCCATCATAGAGGTAAATATATAAATGTGTCGTTAAAACCCTCTAAGTCGTGTGCCAGTCCAGTGTGCCAGCCATTACACCACGGCATCACGAATGCTGCTAAGAAGAAAGTTGTCCCCGCTCAAAGGAGTGTCGCGCTGTGCGAACCGTAGCTGGTGACCCTGGATCAGTGGCTGGAAACATTTCACAATCTTGCGTGGCATGGGCCAGTCAATCCGTAGGACAACCACTGGCGACTTCCGAATAAGTGGCACTTACGGATCTCACATCCAAAATTCCAAATGCTGTGAATATCATCATCATCATCATTTACCATACCATACAATACACCTGACTCCTGCCCATGAACTTATCCGAGCTGTGGCGGTGCGTGCAGGTAATCCAGCACTATGGTTGGTGGATCACTTACATGTTGTCAAACTCTCTTCCCGTCAGCATTGAGGTTGCCAGAGGAACGTGGTACGGCAGCATGTGGACTCCACCTGTTCCATCTCTTTGGGATAGAGTGTTGCGCCCTCACATGTGTGGTTTTCCTTCAGATGCTCCGGTTTCCTCCAACATGTAAACACTCACTAATTGGTCGTTAAAAACGTAATATATAGAGGACCGCGTAGCTTTGGTGGAGGGGCTTAAAATTGGCACCAGTTCATTGCCTGGCTGCCTCACTTATTTGTGGTCTATCGTCCCTCTGAATTATTTTCCTCTAATCGAGAGTAAACGAATACTGTGTGGCACATTACAACTTTAAATAATTATTATTATTTTAAATGATGGGGCCTTTTTGGCAGTATCAAATTATGAAAAAGTAAAAATAGGCAAAAATAATTTTTTTATGCTTTGATACTGGCAAAAAGGTCCCATTTTGTAGCTACTCACCCCAACCTAAAATGCTCTGATAGCTATCAGCTATCAATATAGTCCATTGTCTGTTCGTCTTTTGGCGTTCTCTGGTCTGACATTGATGAGACTCGGCCATAAAGAAGGTTTTCTCTGGTGTAGGCCAATCGGTTTCAAAGACAATGCCTATATTATCAGAACATGTTTGTTTGCATGTTCACCACAAGTACGTGTGGTTAATGCAGACTTGATTCCTTGCAAGAGGTTTCTTTTTTGGTGTTTGAACATCTTAACACCTGTTTTATTGCCAGAAAGGGTAAAACCTACACTTATTTTTTAATTGTCATCGTTCCATCCCTGCGGTGGTGGTCCTCGCCCCCGTGGACGCATCGCCAACCTCGTCCATCGGCCATCATCTCAGAGCCCAATTAGACGTTTGTGGACACTCCGAATATATAACACCATAATAATACTACTACGACTACCACGGTAAATGTTCCGTGCAGCAGGGCTTCAGCCAAGAAACCCAAGCAGGCCCGTCATAAGGAAAACAAATTGAACTGAGAGTCAGTTGGAGCTTTGTAAGTAAATGGCAAGAGTTTACTTAAACTCTCTCCCGACCCTACCAAAATCCAGCCCATTCAAAAGCAAACTAATTTCACACACTTTTGTCATCACAGACGTCTGGTGACCTGGTGACCAAGTCAAAAGGGCCATCATGCTCCAAACACTCGAAAGCAGTTACCAGTGAGCCAATGGGATAACTTGAAGGCAGTCTTTCAACAAGACAGCTTCTATTTAATTCCCACTTAACTTTTACAATTTTAGAGGTTGTGATTAGCTGAGATTACCACTGAATGGGCATTGAACGTGGATCCTTCCGATTGAGAGTTAAATACTCTGCTAGATGATAATGACTGGTTGCAGCCGTATTGCACCCTCGCATTGAATTTTACCGAATTACATGTGAGCACTGCTGATGGTGCCGTCTCAAAATTGGAATTGTTCTTGTGGATTTTATTAGGTGGAAAAGACTGCAGCACTTTGCGTGTTAACAATGTATTTTTGTATGTTTAATGGACAGAAACAAAATACACGATTTTGTAAAGTCTTTATTGGCCATTCGCAGTGGCAGTGATGGCCAATGTGCAGTCAACTCTTACATCTGTTTTTAAACGATTCCTCGGCGACAGGAACGCAGAGCCACAGGTGTCGAGGCCGAATTGTACTCCATGGATCACATCCCTCTGTCGATCGGTTATTGTTCACCGTGGTCGGCATGTACAAAGCCTGGGCCTTGTCATAAGCCCCGAGGGAGTGGTGGCTACCCCCCCCCCCCAATCCCGCGCCGTGTGGAGGCGGCATCGCACGCAAGGTGTTGTGAAGCTCCCTCCCCGTGGGGGTCAAAGGGGTGCGCCACAGCCCTGGCTCGCCAAGAGAAGGCAGTACGGCAAAATTGTGGACTCCACCTGTTCCATCTGTGCGGTGATAGAGTGTTTCCCCCTCGCAACGCGTGATTTTTCTCTGGGTGCTCCAGTTTGCTCCCACATGCAAACACTCACTAATTGGCTGACAACACCTTCATATATAGAGGATCGCAGAGCTTGCGTGGGCAATTTGACGTCGGATCACCACGTAGCTGGTGCTGCCTTCCCCGCTCGTCTGTGGTTTTTCGTCGCTCCTCCGAGTCGTCCTCTCTCCCTTCGAGAGCGAGCCAATATTAACCATGCGCGTTACAATGTGAAATTATTTGAACTACTTATGCCACGAGCTAAACGGCTGTTACCTGCATTGGAAACGTGCACTGTGCCCATGCTCATTTGAGCAGAAACGATGGTCGACTCTGTTAATTTACGTGCACGTGTTTTAAGAGATACACTCCCAGGAGGGATTTTGACATGACCCCAGAGTCAAACATGCTCATATTTGTTTTGTTAATTAAAATCCACAGTCTGAATGGAGAAACAGCTTGCATATATTTATTTTAGCATTAATAAAAATACAGACCTGTTAATACAGACAGATGGTAATAAGATTCGATAGAAAGGTTCTGCTGAACCCTGAGAAAGGATGCAAAACCAATACGCGTGATTGTGTTCACAACATCTCAGGAAGACTCGTGAAATGTGATGCTTTTAATTCTACCTTTATCGTATGAGGGCACACCAGAAATGAATTTAATGATCAGGTTCGTATATATTTTTCGGAACATGCAACATTCTCGCACTCTATGGCCTAAGAACGACTGCGGAATTCTGTCACGAGGTCTCGTATTCGCCTACACGTCTTGTCGGATGCAATACAACAAAGAGGTTTCGAAAAAAAATAACAAAGATATATTTATGTAAAGTAATAATTATTGTAGGAGTTGTTGTAAAACTCTTGTGAGGCTGTGGCACGCCAACACGAGATGTCATTGATCGATCTGCTTCGAGGCGTGGCAGGGAAGGGTCGTGACCCACTCGCCGGCAGCCAGAGTAGGTCACGTGACAAGCGTGCTGCTCGGGTTGATCAAGTGAATGGGGGAACCAGTTTAATTGCGGGGATATTTAAAAATAAACAACAACAACTTATAAATACAGTACAACTGAGTTACAAACGCGGTCAAAACACTCGAGAAGAATTTGACCTAACGGCACGAGCAAAGAAGGAACCTCCTGAAAATTATTATTGAATATTGAGTGACGCTTTTGGTGGGTAAAGATCTTCAGTTTTTGCCGATGATGATCATGATGACAATGTGGATGGCGACGATAATGCGACGACGAGAGTAAACAACGTACTGCGTCTGTCAAAGGAAAAGCTCAAAAGACCGATTGGATTCAAGATGACGAGCAATTCTGCCCAGCTCTTGCGCATTCAACATCCCTTGACGTATTCCTTGTAAGACGCACTCGGGTGCTCGCCTCTGCATCCCACCACCTCGACCACCACGTCGCCATCCATGCGCTGCTTCTCCGGCTCCCCGCCATCAACCGCCTTCACGTTCACCTTTTCTTGGATCGAGAGGGGGATGGAGGTTTCCACGGGATAGCGTTTTGTCTTTTTCTTCCTGCCAGATGCACACACGGGGAGAGAGTTATGGACGATAAACAACGCCGTTCGGACATATTCGCGGAGCTCATGCAGTCGCCATTCTATGGGGGAGAGACATGAGAGGAGAGGGTGCTGGCAAATTGCACCCCCCCCCCCTCTCCTAATGAGAGCAATGCCTGCGTGTGCCCCCTACTTAGAGGCAGCTCCTTGGAGTGGCTTAGGAAGCACTCAAGTTAAAGTCAACATCTCGCGGTGGCCATATGTTATCTTGCTCGCCTTGCGCAGGAGGTCGGGGGTTCGATCCCGACCCTGACGCCTGCTGTATCTTCGGAGTTTGAATGTCTCTCTCCCCGTGGTTGCGTGGATTTTTCTCTGGGTCCTGCGGCTTTTCCCTCCACATTCAGAATCAACATCACGCGTTTAGAGTATTTGCCTGCTATACATTCCACGTGATAAGCCACTTCGTTGAGAGATCATTTGTGGCCAGGTTGCTTCTAAAAAACAGCTAAATAGCTTAGTGGGCCTGACCTGGTCAAATAAATAATGGTTTATAGTTCAAAAAAAGTCATCACTGCTGATTTTGTTGATGCCGGAGCACGTCCCCATCACTTCCTTTCTGACCCGTCCCAACTTGATATCCATGATAAAGAGCTTCATAGCTCATCGGATTCCTCCAGTATAAACGAATAAAGATTCTCATTCTTCATTCTGCCAGATCCCAGTCCAGTTGCACAGTTGTCACGTGACTTCCAAGGCCTGTCCTCCTTTCAGTTTTATTCCACGGATGTTTGGAGACAACAAATTTCACGAACAAACAACAAAGCGAACGTTCTGATGTCTTACATTTCACCGTTAGAGCTGCTGTGTTATAATTTTCGCACACTCAAATGTATAGGTTGTGGTTCAAAAGTATCCTCTAATAATTGAATCAGCCATACTTTTCATGTTTGTGTGACTGTTGGAGATGAGCCGAGGATTTATTCGTACCATTCTCTGGCACTTTTAGCAGGGCAGGCTTCATAACCATCATGTAAACCTCTCAAGTGATTTTCTTTTCCATTGATATATTTATGGTTAAACAAACGCAAGTTACATTTTAAATGCACTATGTTACTAAACGTGTCATCCAACTGATATTTGCTGTTAAGTCGACTATAAAGTTGCTGTGCCATTGTTTTCACGAGGAAAGTCATTGTGTATAGGTCTATCCACAAGAATATCCACTGTGGATAATCTGTGAGTAAAACAATCCCATCTCTCAGTAGGGATCCGTATACCTGCTAATGAAAGCTGTGAGTCTCAGTGGGTCCACTCAGCATTCATATTTTCATTTGCAATTTCAATTTAATTGGGTAGACGCAGGAAGAGTTCGCCCACTTCATGTCAATGTGCTGCTATAAAGAGCTGTACCAAAGTGAAAGCTGCAGCGCCTGCAACTGCTCGCTCACACTACTGCTGGTAGAAGGGCGTCCACTAGAGGGAGCTCTAGAGAGCCCCCCCTGGCGTGAATGTTGGCCTATGCTTCCATGCTATGTCATGGAAGAGGTGGCAGTACCCACACCTTACCCCACGTGACCTGGCAATCGACTATACGTCGAGAACGTATTGAACAAATGAAGGCCGCCATTAGCATCCTCCATTTTGTATTGCCATTCAAATTCACCAGCTGAGTGGCTCAAGGGTGCATCACGTGATGCCTGATCACCACCCCAGCACCGTCGAGATCCTGGGGTCGAATGATCAGAGCAGGCTCTCAAGCGTGGCGAGTTGATGGACTCAGCCTGGACACCAATTGAGATACTCTACAAAAAACACGTCTATAAATATAAACGTGTTTTTTTATGACGCTGCATTTGCAGTAGTGCACACCCAAAGAGGAAAAATATTTGAAGCAATCGAACGTTTTAGACAAGGGCCCTTTCGTCATAGCAGAGATATGATGGGACATGATCCAATTAATGTGTTGCATTTAAGATACATTTGTTTGTTAACTTCATTTAGAAAAGCCCATATCTGAGTGGTAACATTAATGAATGCTGTTTATCAGAGAACTGACGTGCAGTGAAGCACTCTCTCCACAGAGTAAACAGGTGTTGTCCAGCGTTCGCTGAAAGGGGTCTCTTGAAGTGATTGCAAAAGTAATTATGGTGCTGTCTCCGCTACGTGACGTGATTCTCCGCCGACTACAAGTCCCGAAAGAACATCACTCGGCTTCGTGACAGGAGGAGACGTTGAAGCGGAGTGAGGTGCGCATCAGCTAATGGATCCGGCAAATGGAAGGAAGTGATAGCGAAGTGTTGGTCGCTTCAATGGCATTCACGTTTCAAGTTTGGTCTGTTTCACCAGCTGAGTTTAGTTTCATTTGCAAGAGCGACGAGTGAGTGAGTGGGTGAGTGGGTGAAGTAATAAGGCGGGTGAGTGAGTGGGTGAAGAGAGATAATAGGTGAGCGAGTGGGTGACTGAGCGAGTGGGTGGAGTTGGTGAGTGGTGAGCGGTAGTGGAGCGGTTAGTGCTCTGCTCTATCTGAACCGGTCCCAGGCCTCCCATAAGTCGACTCAGCCTCAAATGAGTACCTCGTGCGGTGTGTAAACATCGCCACTGGGGAGACAAAGGCGGCCGGGCGTGGTGCTGGCCACCAACCCCCTCCTGAGCCGTGCCGGCCTTCATACGTGTTCACTAATAGCACTTACCCCAACAGTCTGTTTAGGCTATAGGGGGGATCTTTGTCTTTGGAGTTGGTGAAGGGAGATGGTGGGCGAGTGGGTAAATAATCGAGTGAGATGATGAGTGAGTGCGGTCGAGTTCAAGTCTGAACTAGGGGAGAACTCAAGAGGCCAGGATGAGTCTCATTGGCAAGAGTGACGTGGCTCTCCAAAAACACGAGAAGAATCAAGACAGAGTACAGCACCGAAGGTGCTCGAATTGTAAATGTCGTGGGTGCACTCTCCAACACACCGGTGTGCTGAACTAGTCACGAATTGGCACGTTTGATTCACGTGACACACCTTACTAATTGGCTGCGTCGAGTGGTGGTGGGTTTGACGACGCCATTATATTTACGCGATCTAACCCCAACAACTTCTATTATGGATAATAAGGAAACAGATATTAGATCAAAAATAACTCCGTGAGAAATTTAATGATTTGCACTTGACATAAATCAGTGTTAAATAATGAAATTCTCTGTAGCGCAGGTAGGCTCCAGATTGTAATAAACCAGTGCATTATATCATTACCTGCTGACCCTGAGAAGATGACAAACACGCGTGTGATTTAGATCACTATGATCATGCTCATGCAATGTTTAATTGTGTCGTATATAAAATGCAGTTTGATCATTGAAAAATGTGTAAATAGATTCAGACATTTAAGCATAGTTATATTGTCAAATATGTGACCCGTGCTTTCAGTTGTTATAGTTCACTGATGATGATGTGTTAAAACATGTAACGGTGTTGATAACACTTTTACCTTCGACATTTCAAGACACAAAATGCAGCCGTGGCAATGATGACGGCGACGAAAATCAGAATGATCAGCACGGGATGTTTCCAATCTGGAAAAATAGTAACAACAATTGCAAAAAAGATCAACATAGCAAATTCATATTTTTTGCGGCCTTCAAAACATATATAACTGTCTTCATCTCATTTCTGGCCAAACTTGTGTGGTGGCCAAGAATCTTGGATGTAAATATATCAACCGGAGCACGTGGGGCTCGTGGATAAAGCAAACGGGTGAAGCCTGTAATACGCCGATGCCTACGAGAGGCAGTACAGCAAGCGGGATGGCCGGGTGGCTCAGACGGCTACGCGCGCGTGGGAGCATTTCCGACTTTACCGGGTTTCCATTCAAGCAGCCACCGGTGAGTTAAACTTGGTTCTTAACTGATGTTAGTCGATTTGATGGTCTCAGCGACTTCTGGATGAGTGATTGATTGCAACGTTTGAAGTGAAACTTGTTTGCATTCTGGACAAAAGTGAAACCGTGAATCTGTAAAATAGGATTATATTAATAAAGGTTTTTTGGGTTAGATCATTGAAATATAAATGTGTCGTTAAACCCACCACCACCCGACACAGCCAATTAGCAAGGTTTGTCACGTCAATAAAACATGCCAATTCGTTACTAGTTCAGTGTTGGAGAGTAAATCCACAACATTTGAAGTGTGAGTATGACGTTTCACCACTAATTGCATTGATGATGCTGGTTGTAATTACTGGCGAAACGTCGTACTTAGATATTAAATGTTGTGGATTTGCTCTCCATGTTTTGACTCGAAAACTGGCTTTGTTTTAAACGAAGAAAATGTACTGACTAAATGACTCTTTTCACCTGTCGGGTGTACACTGGCGGAGCCAGTGTGGGGGGGGGGGTAGCACGTGCCCCCCCAATTATCCAATCGAAAGCCCTAATTTATATCGGATCATTGGGGTTTATTAGTAACAAATCGGCATTTTGCGACCCCCACTGCCACTGTGTAGCATATTATTACGTGGCAGGGACTCTATGAGATGATAGGACAATAGTCTGAGTCCATAATTGAGGATTTAGCAGCTACTACTGATTGAAATGTCCCTCTACGCTGCAGTGACACGTACTACGTTCTGGGTGCAAGTCAAACATTGTTTACCAGGTAATACATTGTCCATATACAGTAATAGGATTTTTTTCGATGTAAAACTTTCGTGACTGCAGGGATTCATATGCTTGGTTCTTTCGGTAAAGTCACGTAGAAGGGAAATAATAAAATAATAATAATACATTTCTCATTTTATTATTTCCCTTCTACGTGACTTTACCGAAAGAACCAAGAATATAAATAGTAATAGGATTAGTATTATTGACTTATCAAAACGTGTCCCCTATGACAGTGAGTAGTTATCGAATGCTGTGTGACTTGTTCGGCATGTGGCAAATGCTGAGTTCGAGCGGCATGTGTGTGATGGTTCGCTTGCACCTCCACTCGTACTGTTTGTTATTTTGCACAGTACTTTTACCTGCGCGTCACATATCATCCGAACCTTCAGGAACTACAAATTCTAAATCGTTATATGAATTTAATATTGCAAAATGTAAAAGTACGGACGTGATGGTGGAAGGGCCTCCACGAGCAGCCTCTCTCTGGAGGGTATTTGGCCTACTCTTCCACACTGGCGAAGATCACCCACGCTTTTCCACACGCAACCTGCCGACCGACCCACTGCGGTCAACCCATTTCTAGCACTGGATCGACAGAGGCGAGGAGGGGAGTGGATTAAATCAATCAAAAACGACGGCCTGCGGATTGCAAGTCCGGTGTGCTAACCACTGCGCCACGGTGGCATCGCCACTCGTGAATGAGGAATGTCCACACCTCCTCACTACAGGGCAACAGTTGTGGCACAGTTGGCAACATTGTGCCCCACAGCAAGAGGGGGCCTGGGCTCAATTTACAACGAGGGCACCTTTCTGCAATGGAGTTTGTATGTTCTCTTCCCCCGTTCTGCATGGGGTTTCTCCTGGGGTTTTACGGTTTCGGCCCATGGCTAACAAAACATGAACGTGCAAAAACAAATTCCGTGGCTGGAAACGTATCTGCAACTCACTGACTTGGAATCACAAACAGCAACAACATGGGACCCCTTACTGCAAATTCTTTTTTTTTAAAGATTCTTGGAACTTTCCTGGTTAAACAAGCACATTCATAAAAATACGAATACATGCGTTTAGAATCAACATGCGGTTTAGAGTATGTGGCTAATAGAGATGTCTACACATAATAAGCCACTTCGTTGAGCTATCATTTGTAGCCAGATCGCTTCGAGAAAATATCTTTATAGCTCAAGTGGGCCTGACCTGGTAAAAAAAAAATAAGTACTTAAGTTTAGTTTAGAGATACAATTTTGAAAGTTGAGATGATAAGTGAAATGCAAACCTGAGTACAGGCACACCCTGGGGGTGGGTGAAGGCTACATCATTGCAAGTGAACGAGGTACTGAATCACGTGTATAATTGAACCTCATGTCAGATTTAATAATTGGACGTGGCAGCGAAAAAGTCGTGGAAGTATCCGGTGTCATGGGTCTGTCTGCACCAATGCAAGGCAGCGGCCTAAACCACAATGCGGGACACACCCTGTGCGCTCGAGGGCTGCAGCTTCATCTCCTCGGTCGTCAGGAGCTGCGCTCCACTCCCACTGCTGCTGTGGCCGAGTGTGGCATCCAACACTACAGCAGTAACAATGGTGTGACATAAACACACGGGCAATGTTGTGTTTCACGAGCAATATCACTTACATCAAGTACGCCTTTTGGCGTCCTCTGGTCTAACACCGTTTGAGACGAGTCTGAAAAGAAAGCTGTCTCTGGTGTGGACCAATCAGTTTCAAGGACAATGCATATATTATCAGAGTACGTTTTTTTATTTGCATTCTTACCACAAGCATTGTGGTTAATGCAGACATGATTCCTTGTGAAAGTTTTCAGTTTGGTGTTTGAACATCTTAACACCAGTTTTGTTGCCAGAAAAAAAAGGGAAAACCATATTATCACAATATCACTTACATCGAACCCATATGCTGTGTTACAGACTAAATTTACTATCTACCCTGAATATGGCATTAGCTTTGACGGGGAACCATGGTGGCGAGATGTTAACTACCTCGCCTGGTATGCAGGGGGTCGTGGGTCCGACCCCGACCATGATGCATGTTCTCCCCGTGGTTGCGTAGATTTTTCTCCAGGTCCTCCAGGTTTTCCCTCCAGATTTAGAACCATGCATTTCGAGTATTTGGCTGCTATAAATTTCCACACGGTACGCCACTTTGTTGGGCTATGATCTGTGGCCAGGTAGCTTCTGAGAAAGAGCTATATAGCCCAGAGGGCCTGACCTGGTAAAATAGTTGAAGAGTTAGAATATATTGACGATAATTGTTGATTTATCCCGTGAAGCCACACTGAGTCCAAGGACTCTTTTTCAGGAGGATCCTGCGGCAGTGGGTTCTTATTTTTTAAAGATATTTTAAGCCAATGAATGAGCGTTTATACAAGTGGGAGGCAGCTGGAGCAACCCCATAGAAAACCCCACGCATGCAAGGGGGCAACACTCTATCCCCATACAGATGGAAACAGATGGAGATACGTCTACTTGCTTGTACTGCTTTCTCTTGGCAAGCCAGGGTATGGCACCTCGACGCTCATGGCAAGGGAGTTTCACAGCATTTGTGTGATCCACAAACACTTGCTGCCTCGACAGCGCTGAATCACAGAGCACTTGCATCGCCGCCACTACCTGGCTAACATGTTGCAAATACAGTACATATAGTGCATTGTCTATATTTTTTAACAGTTATTCCAATTGTGCTGTCGGAGTCGTATCATAAATCAATCGCATGTTCATTCGCAATTTAGCCAGTGCAGCGTCTCACCCCGTGTTCCAGCGCGGACTGCAGAACGTGACATCACAGAATTCCTTCTCAGATCCATTTCAGGTGACCTTTTATCTACACGTACGATCACTGGGCTTGCAAACGCCCCGTGCTGTACGGATGTTTGTCACACACGGCAGTCTAACCGAACTCTTATTGCTTTTAGTTCTCTGAGCTTGATTTGTTGAGGCAAAATGAACTACAAACCAAGCGTAATGATAGTTTGTGTATGTGCAGTCATTGGTGACTGGGTTAGGACGACCAACTCACGACGACACTTTTGAACCCAGTGTAAGCACGTGCAACGAAAGGCTAGATTCGAACCTACGACCTCAAAGATGCCATCTTCGTGCAACTTATGGCTTTATTTCTTTCGTTTTCTTCTACCCTCTTCCTTAGCCCCTTATCTAATTGCATTCCACAAAACTCTCCCACTGTATATGGACATATTGGCGGTACACCGGTGCAGCATAAAACACCGGTCCTCATAAAACAGTTGTAAAATATAAATGTGAACTGACATTTGCCTTCCAACTGCTTCGACATCGCGAGAACTGATTTTGACGCCGCACCACCACCAGTACCACCCAGCAAGATGTTCTGACGGGTTGCGAATCGCGGGAAAATAAATAATGATTGTGAAAATTATATATACCACGCCCTGGTGTATCGCCAATACGTTCATACAAGTTACGTTACAGATAACGAGTACTGTATTGATCGAAGTGATATTTTCATTTGAAGGCCAGAGTGTTCTTTTTACGAATGTGTTGAGTTTTGTTTCATTTAATAAAAAAAACATTAAAATAAAACTACTTTTTATTTTACCAGGTAACAGCCCACTGAGCTATATAGCTCTTTCTCAGAAGCTACCTGGATATCAAAAATAATAGCTAATTAAAGTGGCTTATCAAGTGGTAATCTATAGCAGCAAATGCAGCAGCGTCGCCAAATAATTTGCGGCAAGCATAATCAAATTATTGAAAGGAGTATCTGGGCTATTCCATTTAACCATGAGCTGTTACTTATCACGTGGCAGCTGATTAGCTCTTACGAATAGAAAAGTTTATTGCACCTATTTAATTACTTGGGTGATGGAAATAATTACAGTTAATACATTTGTTTAACATCGCAAAAGCAGCTGATCCATATAAATCACTTATACCAAGCCTGCAATGGGAGGAGTGTTGGCGCCACCGCAGAACCTTTGCAAAAATGTGAACATTCATACCTTTCCCTTATGAAAGGGATACTCTTGAGATTATAAAAAGTAAATTGAACGTGTATTTAATAGACTGAATTTATATTGACCATTGCTGAAGTCAATGATGAGGCCTTACCAGTGAAATGTCCTTGACTGGCATAAGTGGCTGTTTGTAGATTCTGCGTGGAACTGGCAGCCATCTCAACATTAGTCGGCATGTCGGTGAAACTTGAACCATTTTCCCACGCATCTCCGGACGCCTCGAGCTCTCCAGAGAATGGGTTAGCGTCACTCGCCACGGAAGGAGTTGCAACCGGCAAATGAAAACCCCAGCTCGTGGACAATCTTCCGCTGTCATCCAAGTACCCTTGCGTCAACGTTGAAATTACATTCGTGGCACCGTGAGCCAAGGAATCGACTGTTGATTCTGAACGAGAGGGAGGTACAAATAACGGTGCAGTATTACAATGTGGCAAAGGTGCAGCCCTGCAATTGGGATGCTCACGCCACTGCTGATGGGAAATGCGTCCACTGGATGGAGCTCTGGAGGAGCCCCCCTCTAAAGGGTATATTGTACATTCTTTCCACAATGGCCAGACGCCTCGGAGAAGGTGGAAGTACCCCACGACGTTGACCGCCATCGCGTGCCCCCTGTCGACTGGCCCAACTGTGGTGAACCCATTTTGCTCTGCTTGGTGGACGGAAGTGGGTGGAACCTAAGAAACTTGGGCCATTGTTTCAAAGGCACCACACCAGGAGGGGAAGTCGCACCGGCGACCTCTTGACTGCAAGTCCAGTTTACCGACGATCACAACACCACGGCAGGAGTCCGATATTTTTTTACTTCAAATATCCTCATAAGTTTCATTTTTTTTATTACCCAATGGTCAACCTCCATTTGACCCCAAACATAGGGGTAACGCTTCAAAACGTCTTATTATTTCACTCAGCGATCCACATTTTAGCGCACGCGACTAACTGTGGAGTACCCATTCGCACTGCTGTGTGGACACGGGATTTCCACTGCTGTACTGGAAGATCAAATCGAGCCTCCTACCCCTGGACTGCACATCCAGTCTGCTGAACAGGACACCTTTTGAATCAAGAACAAATTGAATGAAATCGATCGAGCTGATTATTTTTTTATCCATTGCTGTCGTGAATAATGAGTCCCTTACCAGTGGGAGTTCCTTGGCTGGTCTGAGTGTCTCTTTGTGGACTCTCCGTAGTACTGACAGCCATCTCAACATTGGTGTGCGCATCGGCGGGACTGGAATCGTCTCTGGGGGCATCTCCTGATGCCTCACGATCCCCGGAGACTGGACGAGCACCTCTTGCCACAGAAGGCATTGCACTCTGCAAACGAAGATCGCTGCCCGTGGATAATTCTCTGTCACCCAGGTGTGCTTGCGCCGACGTTGAAAATGTTTTTGTGGCACCGCTAGCCAAGGAATTAACCGTTGAATCTGAGCAAGAGGGAATATACAAATTGTAGTGCTTGCAACTTTGGATGGCCGAACAATTAAAAGAACATCTTGCAATAGTACCTTGCTGTGTGCAGGCTGTACTTTTTTTCATGTAACGTATAGCCCATAATATAGGTTTTGGGGGTAAGATTGCGTAAATATATAAGTGGGTTGTTAAACCCACCACCACCCGACACAGCCAATTAGAAAGGTTTGTCATGGAAACCGAACATGCCATTTCGTTACTAGTAGAGCACACCGGTGTGTTGGAGAGCAAATCCGCAACATTTACAATCTGAGCACAATCCACCCTCTGATATTCATATGTGTTATGAAACAACAACAAAAATAATAATTATAATCACCCATAACAGAGTTTGTTTGTTAGATCGCTTAAATATAAATGTGGCGTTCAACACACCGGAGTGTAATTTAATGTTGGGTTTGTCTATGGCAGTATATGGTACGGAGTAACCCGTGTGATGTGAGAAAAAAGTTTAGCTGGAGGCATATTATCTTTTTTGCGACATAGAATTGTAATGTATGACTTACTGTTAGTAGCTCAGCTTATTGGAGAGTATATTTAGTATATTGATGATACTGATGTAGTTTATATTTTTACGTGGTGGTTTAGCTGCTGCAGCTCCTTACTATAAAAATTCCTTCCCTCTATTACTGCTAACCCTACTCCCTCCCTTTGATGCTGCTAATCCTGCATACTGCATAATGCACGGGCATAATATGACTTTGAAACCCCTCCCACCTCCTACGCATCCCACAAGTAGTGACTAATCCCATATCTCCATTTCCCATAAATATGATAAATTCCTCTTGATATGCAAATTCGTTTGTCAAGGCGCCCCTTCCCCCTCCAACCCAGCTTAAATATACGCTGCCAAGCCTGGTGGTGCCCATTCAGACGCTATCTTTCCGACAGACTTGTTCTTCACCTGAGGACGGCTGCTTGCGTTGTGGCCGAAACGTCGTGAGAATTATTTTATTATGTTTTATTATTATTATTTTATTATTTCCCTTCTACGTGACTTTACCGAAAGAACCTAGAAGATGAATCCCTGCAGTCATGAAAGCTTTAAATCGAAAAAGCATCAAAATATTTGCTATTTTCTCCTAAGACCGAGTTAAATCGAAGTTATAAAAAAAAAACTCTTCAAAGTTTCACCGTAAAGTTTTCGAAATGTGGAACAAAATTTTCCCTGAATTTGGGAGTGCAGAAAAAAATATCTTGGTTTCCAAAAATATCAGACAAGGGCAATCTCTGATTTATTCCCGAGAACAATAGGGTAGTAAATAAACAGATGGAAGCCAGTGTAGTGGAACATATTCCTAGGATATGTATTTGAAGATGCGCAAGAAGAAGATGGGTTACATGTGCTGGCAAATTTTCAAGTGTAAAAAAAAACATAGCCTGGAAGGCGCATAGAGTTTCTGTTCATGTTTTTGTGATAGTTTTGGCTCGAAAAGAAAACCCGAAGAGAAAGCTTGTAATCAGGGGAGTGCCGAGGGGAATCTGGGTCATGCATCCTCATATCAGCATGCCCGAGCCGACCAATCAGCTTCTGTCAATCAAAAAAAAATACAAAGATCCCCCATATAGCCTTAACAAACTGTTGTGGCAAGTGCTGTTAGCGAGGAGTAGCTATGGGGCCAGCACGTCACACGAGGGGGCAGGTGGCCAACACCACGCCCGGCCGCCTTTGTCTCACTCATGCCGATCTTGTACACACCGCACCAGGTACTCAATTGAGGCTGAGTCGACCTAGGGGAGGCCCAAGACCGTTTCAGATAACCGTCACTGGTGTTGGCCGTGAGCGGGAGCCGAACCAGGGTCATCTGGTTCATAGCACAGAAAGGCTAACCGCTACACTCTCGCTCCCACCCCCTAAGTCTCTCACACACATAAACACTAGTGTGTGTTTATGTGTGTGAGAATTGTTATATCTACTACCGAGGAGAAGAACTGTAGTGTCAGAGGTGGCTTAGTGCGACTTAAAAGGACGATGATGATGATGTTGAAGACATTCACACGAGGGGACGCTCAGAACTGGCTCCACTGATGTGTGACCATCGCCTGTACTCAAACTTAAGTGCACCAGGTTTGTAGTGCAGTGCTCGGATGTCTAGTGGCATGAACAAGGGATGTACTTGAACGATTCTCAATGCCAACATGACTACTCAAAGGACAGTCGTAGGATGGACATAATTAATATTTTATCATAATGTTATGATAGTAGAGTCAACCTGTAGATCGAGTGGTCAAGGGCCAGCGAGAAGGTTCCAGAATAGGGGCGTGGTCACGGGACAGGGGCGTGGCCACGCACTGTATATAAGGGAAATGCGTGGGAGACTCGTGGATGTTGCAGTGGGGTCTTCGCCTGTTCGAGGGTGAGCACGTGGCTCCTTAAATAAATAAATCCTTCCCAGGACAAGTGCGTCGAAGTCGTCTCTACAATAATATTTTTGTCTTCTTGTCCATTTCCGCTGCTTGTTGAAGTTTCCCCTATGTTGTGCTGTTTACCCAAACTTCACTGCAGGATAATAGAGAAAACAAATCAAAAAGAAAATGTTGTGACTTTTTTCGAAGTCAAAAGAAACCCCGCTAATATTTAGAATGTTTTATATCATTTAATAGAAGTCATATATATTCATATGAGTCCACCACAGTGGATATGATCGATGATGGCATTGGATCACTGTTGACTTACTGCTGAGCAATACTCAGTTTATCACCCACAGGTAGATAATATTCCTCTGCCATAGGAATGTGGAATTTTTACAACCAGCTCAGGATCAGCAATGGAGATTAGCACATATTACGTGGTTGTTGTAAGCAGGGGCATGATTTCACTTGGCTTAGTTTGGGTTTTTTTTCCAAATATTCATACAAATTTTACATTATATTATACAAATAATTAAACAATGGCTCACTTTTAATATTAGTGTACAGATTTAACTTCGTCGACGAACTCATTTTCAATTTTATTTGTTCCAGGGAGACAAAGGTTTCCGGGGTTGAGGCAGTGTAGAGGCGACCGAGTGTGGAGGCGGGACAACTGTAGGCCGGGTCTCATGGGCCGGAAGGGCCCAGGTGCCGGGCTACAAAGAGGGGCAGGGGAGGGGGGATAGGAATCCCTTGGGACCAGGCGCCGTGCCAACCACACTACACCACTGGGGGAAAGGCGAGGAAACCTAGGGGCAGAATGTTGAGTGGAATGACTGAGGAAGTGAATGACTGATTGACTGTCACAATGTTCCCAATGTCCAAACAAAAATCTAAACTATTTTTTTTATTTTACCAGATTAGGCCCACTGAGCTGTATAGCTCTTTTTCTGAAGCGACCTTGGCCACAAATGATAGCTCAGCGAAGTGGCTTATCACTTGGAAATGTATCGCAGCCAAATACTCTAAGTGCATGATGTTGTTTCTAAATGTGGAGGGAAAAACTTGAGGACCCGGATACAAATTCACGCAATTAAAGGGAGAACATGCAAACTCCAAATGTACAGGCGTCAGGTTCAGGATAAGACCCACGACCTTCTGCGTACCAGGCGACGTACTTAATATCTCACCACCGCGGTGCTCCCAGTGTGCTCGAGCAATGGGCATGAGGACTAAAGGCTGAAGGAAGTGAACTAGGTGGAGCAGCAATGTATATGTTGGAGGGGACTGCACAGTATCGTGACGTTCCACAGGCATAGTTTCAGCAGCAGCCATGGTTAACCCACTGCTGCAAAAAGCCCTCCCCAAGCCACCACATCTCTTGCAATCCCAAACTGTAATAATCCACATAGCACCTGCACACGAGCTGGTTCCATCGCTCCGTCTTATCAATGGACGTCCTGTCGGACGCATCACACTCCTAGGCTGCCACTCCATCATTATCCTTGATGGTCGGCAATCTTCCCTTCTAAGTGACATGCTCTGCCCAATACACACTTACTGGGCTGCAGAGATGGTGTGCTGGCCTCCGGCTTTGCTGTTGCCGTGCTGTCGGTGCGCCGGTCTGCAGACGTGCGCGGTGGGGAGGTAGGTGATCTTCTCGTCGGTGTTGTTGTCGCCGTCGTAATGGTGAGCGTTTTGCTGTCTTTTTCGGAGAAATTATTTATCTTGTCTGCAATGCACATGAACGTAATTTTGAAACAATTACTGCTACGTCTATTTTACTCCTTCTGCTACCAGTTGAAGTGTCGCACGCTACTGTATTTGAAACACCAAGTGGAGTAGAACAATCGAGGAGGATTGGATTTTAACAATGGTACATTGATTAGATCCCTTGAATCAAAATAATAATGATAATAGCATCGTCTTATATTTATCCATAAAGTCCTCACTGAGCCTCAAGACTCTTTTTTAAAGGGAGTTCTGTAATTACTTACTTGGCCAAAACTATTGTTGAGGGTCATAATTGATGTTTGAGTAAGATTGTGCTCATAACACGCGGCCCATTTATGATTATTAAACTATGATTTTTTTTTTTACCAGATAAGGCCCACTAAGCCATATAGCTCTTTTTCAGAAGCGACCCGGCGACAAATGATAGCTCAATGAAATGGCTTATCACTTGGAAATGTGGAGTGGCGTAACGCATGCAGGGTTTGCAAACAGCAGTTGCATTCATTTACGGGGTCGCAAACAGTGAGGTCAGGTCAGGACGAGCAGGTGCGAGCATGTGGCATGGGAGACAGCAGACAGAGAGACGCCAGCAATTAGGGAAATAGGCAGTGATTGGCTGGCTGCAAAGGAAAACGTGGGGTAGGCGCCACGGAGGTGAGAGATAGAGGCGATAAGGGGGGGGGGAGACGGCCTAATGAGGGCCACCTGAGGGCACTTAATGAGGAGGGGGATATAAGGGGAACGTGTGAAGCAATGGAGAGAGTTGGTTGGAGATGAAGAAATGAAGAAAATTCAAGACAAGTCCGGGATCTCGCCCTCCACACCTCGTCCTCCCCAGCGATGTTGGCTGATCCCACGCTGGGGGCATGGGGGGGGTTGGAGGTGCCGGAGTAGACAGGCTAGCAGGTGAGAGGCTAGCGTAATCTTTAGTCTGAGTGTGATAGGCTAGCGGGGTGAGAAGTTAGCAGATTATACAGAGAGAAAGTCTTCTTGGTTCTTTCGGTAAAGTCACGTAGAAGGGAAATAATAAAATAATAAAAATAAAACATAATAAAATAAAATAATTCTCACGACGTTTCGGCTACAACGCAAGCAGCCGTCTTCAGGTGAAGAATGAGACAATGCCAAGCTAGGAGCTTATATATAAGCTGCGTTGGAGGTGGAAGAAGAGCACCTTAACAAAAGAACGTGCATATGAAGAGGAATTTAGCATATTCATGGAAAATGCGTAGGAGGTGGGCGGGGGGGTTTCAAAGTCATATTATGCCCATGCATTATGCAGGATCATCAGCACCAAGGGGGGGTGCAGGGATTAGCAGTAACAAAGGAAAGGAATGTTAATGATATGTAGCTGCAGTTACTCAACAACCACGTAGAAAACTAAAGTATAAACTACATAAAAAACTAAAGTATAAATTGCATAGCACCATCAATATACTTACTATGCTCTACAATAAGCTGAGTTACTAACAACAAGTAATACATTACAATTCTACGTCGTAAAAATTATATAATATGCTTCCATCTAAACTTTATTCTATTGCATCACACGAGCATATACCGTACTATATACTGCCAACATTAAATTATATACTGTATTGCTGTAAACCAACCTATACCTTATACATTTAATATAACACTATGTATTATTCTACCCACCCTAATGTGTGTCGAAATGGTTTATTACGTCCTTCCAATGATTGCTAAGCCAGAATCCATCTTCTCGGTTAAAATTGTCTGTGTTTGTATATGTGGATCGCCTCATGAACGAATCTCTCATGATAGCCAGATGGCTTGCAGAGAACCTCTGTCTTGGAGAAGTCAATATCATGTGAGCCCACTGAGTTGTAACAGTGATCTGCCACGGCTGAGGTGTTTGTCCTACCGCGTTTCAGGTCAGCTTTATGTTCACGGATGCGGTCCGAGACATGTCGTTTGGTTTCCCCAATGTAACTGCTACCACAGAGGAAACTTAGTTTGTAGATGCCAGAGTACTGTATGTCTGGAACCACATCTTTTACAGACGGTACCAGATCACGGATTTTATGTACTGTGTTGAATCGGACCTGGATCTTGTGTTTAATCAGGATTTTGGAGATCTTTTTTGTGACCCCAGCAATGTAGGGTAAGGTGATGGTCTTGAAAGGCTCCTCAACAGGATCCTTCTTGATGGTTGGAGTGATGGCTTTGCGGATTGTGTAGTCGGAGTAACCATTAGCCTTAAGAGCTTGGCGTACGTGTTTGAGTTCACTGGCAATGTGTTCATGGTCGGAGATGCATTGGGCTCTATGATATAGAGTCTTGATGAGGGAATTCTTTTGGGATGGATGGTGGTGGGAATCCGGTTTTAGGTAAGAATCCGTATGGGTGAACTCAAACACGTACGCCAAGCTCTTAAGGCTAATGGTTACTCCGACTACACAATCCGCAAAGCCATCACTCCAACCATCAAGAAGGATCCTGTTGAGGAGCCTTTCAAGACCATCACCTTACCCTACATTGCTGGGGTCACAAAAAAGATCTCCAAAATCCTGATTAAACACAAGATCCAGGTCCGATTCAACACAGTACATAAAATCCGTGATCTGGTACTGTCTGTAAAAGATGTGGTTCCAGACATACAGTACCCTGGCGTCTACAAACTAAGTTGCCTCTGTGGTAGCAGTTACATTGGGGAAACCAAACGACATGTCTCGGACCGCATCCGTGAACATAAAGCTGACCTGAAACACGGTAGGACAAACACCTCAGCCGTGGCAGATCACTGTTACAACTCAGTGGGCTCACATGAATTTGACTTCTCCAAGACAGAGGTTCTCTGCAAGCCATCTGGCTATCATGAGAGATTCGTTCATGAGGTGATCCACAAATACAAACACAGAGACAATTTTAACCGAGAAGATGGATTCTGGCTTAGCAATCATTGGAAGGACGTAATAAACCATTTCGACACACATTAGGGTGGGTAGAATAATACATAGTGTTATATTAAATGTATAAGGTATAGGTTGGTTTACAGCAATACAGTATATAATTTAATGTTGGCAGTATATAGTACGGTATATGCTCGTGTGATGCAATAGAATAAAGTTTAGATGGAAGCATATTATATAATTTTTACGACGTAGAATTGTAATGTATTACTTGCTGTTAGTAACTCAGCTTATTGTAGAGCATAGTAAGTATATTGATGGTGCTATGCAATTTATACTTTAGTTTTTTATGTAGTTTATACTTTAGTTTTCTACGTGGTTGTTGAGTAACTGCAGCTACATATCATTAACATTCCTTTCCTTTGTTACTGCTAATCCCTGCACCCCCCCTTGGTGCTGTTGATCCTGCATAATGCATGGGCATAATATGACTTTGAAACCCCCCCGCCCACCTCCTACGCATTTTCCATGAATATGCTAAATTCCTCTTCATATGCACATTCTTTTGTTAAGGCGCTCTTCTTCCACCTCCAACGCAGCTAATATATAAGCTCCTAGCTTGGCATTGTCTCATTCTTCACCTGAAGACGGCTGCTTGCGTTGTAGCCGAAACGTCGTGAGAATTATTTTATTTTATTATGTTTTATTTTTATTATTTTATTACTTCCCTTCTACGTGACTTTACCGAAAGAACCAAGAAGATGAATCCCTGCAGTCACGAAAGCTTTAAATCGAAAGAGAGAAAGTCCATAACCGGCTCGGAGAGTGGGGAGTAACAGGCTAGCGGAGCAAGAGAGAGTAAGCTCGAAGTAGCAGGCTAGCGGAGGAAGAGAGGAAGAGTTCGCGACAGGAGTACGTGGTGTTGAATGTGAGGAGCATCCGTGTGGGATACTGCGAATGAAGTGACATAGGAGAAAAAGATGAATTTGTCCGAGTGAATAAACACCACACTACAAATGTATCTCAGCCAAATATTCTAAACGTATGTTGATTATAAATGTGGAGAGAAAAACTGGAGGACCCGCATACAAATTCACGCGATTAAGGGGAGAACATGCAAACTCCAAATGTGCAGGCGTCAGGGTCGAGATAAGACCCACCCCACAACCTTCTGTGTACGAGGCGACGTACTTAACATCTCACCATTGCGGTACTCCCAATGTGCTAGAGCGATGGGCATGAGGACTGAAGGCTGAAGGAGGTGAACTAGGTGGAGCAGCAATGTATATTTTGCAGGGGAGTGCAGAGTATCATGACGTTCCACAGGCATAGTTTCAGCAGCAGCCATAGTTAACCCACTGCTGGATAAAGCCCTCCCAAATCCACCACATCTCTTGCAATCCTGCACTGTAATAATACACATAGCACCTGCACACGAGCTGGTTCCATCACTCCGTCTTATCAGTGGACATCCTGTCGGACGCGTCACACTTCTAGGCTGCCACTCTGTCATTATCCTTGACGGTCGGCAGTCTTCCCTTCTAAGTGACATACCCTGCCCAATATCCACTTACTGGGCTGCAGAGATGGTGTGCTGGCCTCCGGCTTTGGTGTTGCCGTGCTGTCGGTGCGCCGGTCTGCAGACGTGCGTGCTGGGGAGTTAGGTGATCTTCTCGTCGGTGCTGTTGTCGCTGTCGTAATGGTGAGCGTTTTGCTGTCATTTTCGGAGGAATTATTTGTCTTATCTGCAATGCACATAAACGTAATTTTGAACAATTACTGCTACGTCTATTTTACTCCTTCTGCTACCAGTTGACGTGCCGCACGTTGCTGTGTTTGAAACACCAAGTGGAGGAGGACAATCGAGGAGGATTGGATTTTTACAACGGTATATTGATTGGATCCCTTGAATCAAAATAATAATGATAATAGCATCGCCTTATATGTATCCATAAAATCCTCACTGAGCCTCAAGACTCTTTTTTTAAGGGAGTTCAGTAATTACTTGCTTGGCCAAAACAATTATTGACGGTCATAATTGAGGTTTGAGTAAGATTGTGTTCATAACATGTGGCCCATTTATGACTATTAAACTATGAAACATTTATTTTTTACCAGGTAAGGCCCACTGAGCTATATAGCTCTTTTTCAGAAGCGACACAGCCACAAATGATAACTCAATGAAATTGATTATCACTTGGAAATGTGTAGTGGCGTAATGCGTACAGGGTTTGGAAACAGCTGTTGCATTCATGTACGGGGTCGCAAACAGTGAGGTCAGGACGAGCAGGTGCGAGCATGTGGCCTGGGAGACAGCAGACAGAGAGACGCCAGCAATTAGGGAAAGAGGCAGTGATTGGCTGGCTGCAAAGGCAAACGCAGGGTAGGCGCCATGGAGGCGAGAGATAGAGGGAAGAGACGACCTAATGAGGTCCACCTGAGGGCACTTAATGAGGAGGGGGATATAAGGGGAACGTCGTGTCGTCGCGTAAAGCAACGGAGAGAGTTGGTTGGAGAGGAAGAAGTGAAGAGAATTCAAGACAAGTCCGGGACCTCGCCCTCCACACCTCGTCCTCCCCAGTGGTGTTGGCTGATCCCCTGCTGGGGGCATGGGGGGGTTGGAGGTGCCGGAGTAGACAGGCTAGCAGAGGAGAGGCTAGCGGAATCTTTAGTCTGAGTGTGATAGGCTAGCGGAGTGAGAAGCTAGCAGATTATACAGAGAGAGAGAGTCTATAACCGCCTCGGTGTGCGGGGAGTAACAAGCTCGCGAAGCATGAGAGAGTAAGCTCAAAGTAGCAGACTAGTGGAGGAAGAGAGGAAGAGTTCGCGACAGGAGTACGTGGTGTTGAACGTGAGGAGCATCCGTGTGGGATGCTGCGAATAAAGTGACATAGGAGAAAAATATGAAGTTGTTCGCGTGAATAAACACCACACTACAAATGTAATGCAGCCAAATACTCTCAACGTATGTTGAATATAAATGTGGAGGGAAACACTGGACGACCCGCATACAAATTCATGCAATGTACTTAACAACTCACCACCGCGGTATTCTCAATGCGCTAGAGCGATGGGCATGAGGACTGAAGGATGAAGGAGGTGAACTAGGTGGAGCAGCAATGCACATTTTGGAGGGGACTGCACAGTATCGTGACGTTCCACAGGCATAGTTTCAGCAGCAGCCATAGTTAACCCACTGCTGGATAAAGACCTCCCAAATTCCACCACATCTTTTGCAATCCCGCACTGTAATAATACACATAGCACCTGCACGAGCTGGTTCCATCACTCCGTCTTATCAGTGGACATCCTGTCGGACGCGTCACACTCCTAGGCTGCCACTCAGTCATTATCCTTGATGGTCGGCAATCTTCCCTTCTAAGTGACATTCGCTGTCCAATACACACTTACTGGGCTGCAGAGATGGTGTGCTGGCCTCCGGCTTTGCTGTTGTCGTGCTGTCGGTGCGCCGGTCTGCAAACGTGCGTGCCTGGGGAGGTAGGTGATCTTCTCGTCGGTGCTGTTGTCGTCGTCGTAATGGTGAGCTTTTTACTGTCTTTTACGCAGGAATATTTTCTCGTTTCTGCAATGCACATGAACGTAATTTTTAACAATTGCTGCTCCTTCTATTTTACTCTTTCCGCTCCCAGTTGAAGTGTCGCACATTGCTGTGTTTTAAACACCAAGTGGAGGAGAACAATCGAGGAGAATTGGATTTTAATAATGGTGCATTTGTAGTGACATAAAAGGGAGGGGCTGCTGGGGGCTCTGGGATCCCAGGCGAGTCCAGACGCTTAAGCCTCTGGGCGCCAGGCGCTGGGTTCCCAGGGGGTCCAGACTATTAAGCCTCTGGGCGCCAGGCGTTGGGTTCCCAGGCGCTTAAGCCTTTTTGACGCCGCCAACGGGGGGGGGGGGGGGGGCTGTGTGTGCTCTGTGGGATGTCTGGTGGCACACACGGCCCACCCCTCGTTGGACCAGGCATAAAAGGAGAGCTCCCTGGACGATCAGGGCCCAGCTGTAACTCAAGACCCAAGACCCACGACCAGCCATCTGAAGACCCTGGGATGCTGTGAGAGCCAGTGGTGGGACTCTGGAACTCCCGACTCTACGACCTTGAGGGCGAGTTCCGGAGCGTAGCCAGAGTAGAGTATCTAGGCTGTGTAGCTAGGCTGTGTACCTAGGCTGTAACAGAGTATCAGGACTGTTGGAGAGTTGGACTGTTGGAGTGTTGTATTGTAATAAAGAAGTTACCTCTACAAGTGTCTCCGGAACCCGTTACACATTGATTGGATCCCTTGAATCAAAATAATAATAGTATTGCCTTATATTTATCCATAAAATACTCACTGTGTCTCAAGACTCTTTTTTAAGAGAGTTCTGTAATTGCTTGCATTCCAAAACAATTATTGAGGGTCATAATTGATGTTTGAGTAAGATTGTGTTCATAACACGCAGCCAATTTATGACGATTTAAATATGAAACTTTTATTATTTTATTTTAAACTAGGTAAGGCCCACTGAGCTGTATAGCTCTTTTGCAGAAGCGACCCGGCCAATAATGATCACTCAATGAAATGGCTTATCACTTGGAAATGTATCGCAGCCAAATACTCCAAATGCACGTTAATTCTCAATGTGGAGGGGAAAACAAATCACATTGAGAAAAATCCATGCGATCACTGGGAGAACATAAAACGCCAAATATACAGGTGTCAGGGTCGGGATCGAACCCACGACCTCCTGTATACCAGGCGATGTAGTTGACATCTCAGCAGGACCACGGTATGTTTTAGAGCAATCTCACAACATGGAGGAGGGTTTCATGACACACATTTTACTCGCGCGATGTGACCCGAACATGAATTTAAATCATTTTAGACGCGAAAACATCCGTGTTAACCTTACGATTCGTGGCGGCTTGGCACTTGGGAAGGAAACAGAGTACCCAGAGAAAACCCTACACGACCGAGTTGGGTGCCAGTAAGCACTGCTGTCTGATGGCCCCCTCCCAGCCCCACGCCTACAACACCTGGCAGGCCTCGGTGGGCATCCATCCCAGTGCCAACGAGGCACAAGTCCTGCGTAGCCTTTGAGATCTGACGAACTCAGGAGCATGCTTCGGGTAGTTTGGTTGTGCGGTTAAATTGGAAGGGAAGGCTGTTGAAACCACATGTGGGGCCAACTCCAGCAATCACCAATCCAGGGTGGATTAAGCAATTCAATGCATGCTACTCTATGTGAAGACAAACTTGGGTCTCCATATTCTTGGGTCTTTTGGTAAAGTCACGTAGATAGGTTCAAAGAAAATAAAAATAAAATTACAAAAAAACTACGACGTTTCGATTGCAACACTAGCAATCGTACATCAGGAGAAAAAAAATAGTAGGAAAGCTGCCAAGGCAGGATGTTTTAAAGCTTTAAGTCAAGATTTAAACTTGGGTCTCTTATGCCACCGCTTATGGTCCACCAGATGGAGAACAGCACCACTTGCTTAATCACGGAGACACTGACGTGTATTATACGTGTGTCTATTGTTGGGCCGAATCCATCAGTCCGAGGTTGTAAATATTTTCTGATTTGGTACCTGGATTCATTCGGGTATTGGAAATGCAGGATCTCAGCCGAGCTCACTCATTGCTCTGACATGTTCGTTATTGACCCTTCTAGCCAACCAGGGTGACAGGGGTTTTATTTATTTATCCGATTTCCTCTCGACTTAAATTTTTTGCTTGGATCAACAAAACGGGAAAGCTCTATCTCATTATGCGGCACAACTGTGTACTGCTGGGGTCATGGGTCCTTTCCCAGCGCAAATCAATCTTGTCAGTGGACAAAATAATTTCACCTTGCCACAGCCACGTCTCACAGCAGAGACAATGAAGGCACCCTTGCCACGAGATAAACATCTGAGGTGAGGTCAACTCAATCTTATTATACCACCGCCGAATCAACAATAGGACGAGTGTCGCCATCATCACCGTTCTGTTTTGGTATGGTGGATACGCAAATATCCGCTGGGTTGATATCGCTATTCTTAACCTCAAAATGCACGCAATCAAATGAATTGTGTAAGAAGCGATGTTTTCCTTTATGTATGTATTATGTAATGAGTTCACATCAGCCTAGCAGCCAATAGAGGTGCTACTAATCCACATCAGTGTTAATTCATCGATTGTTGACTTCGCTCCATTCCCCAATGCCGTCGTAAACCGTTAAGCGTTTGCAAGATGAATGCGAACTGTTTGGTCTGTACCGCTCGGTCCAGTAAATTCAGCGGCAGTTATTGCGTTAAGTTATACTGATGTCTGCCATGGGAATGTGGAGTTTCCACCTGAGCAATAAAAAAGCAATGAACAATATGCGAGACATTTGAAGTGTTCTCCTCTCGTATGGGAGGTTTATCTCTGAGAAACACCGGCTTCCTCTCCTGTTACAAACACGAACAGCAGTCATCCAAAACCTGACCCTCCTCCAAATCAATTCCCAAGACCCGGTGAGGTTTCTCCTGGGTGAACTTATTTAAAAAGTAAAGGACTACTTTAAATGACAAAAATACAACGTAAATCTGCTCAAGTGAAACACTATATTGAGATACCAGAGCATATGCAGCATGCAAAGCGCTAGCCACAAATGAACCACGACACTTTGGTGATCCCGTCAACGAACATAAACCATCACGCAAACTACGGTCATCCTCGCAGCAGCTCTTAGTTAGCCATCTAACAAAGACGGTCACTGCATTGCACACTTTCAGATGTGCTTCTGCGGCTATTTAGAACGCTTTTACTTCCGATATCAGGAAGCCACTGGAGCAATGCACTCTGAAATCTAGATTGAAAAGTAATTTCTTTAGAACTACTTTTTGTGTTTAATGTGGTGTCCTTCCTCCGCACCTCTGATTAGCACGGTTGGCTATGTACGTTATGAAATAATTCCAATATATATACATACATGCAGCGTCATTGTTTAAAACTGCACAGAACCCGCATCCTCGTGTTAAGCGCGGTTATTGTTGTTTGGGTTCAGCGTCCTCCTTGCCTCTTGAAGCCCTGCTGCTGCCAACTGTGATACTTCTCACAAGTGGTCGTCCTTTGTAACCCGAGGCATCGCGTGACTCGGTTTCGATGCGCTATCGGACAAAACGCCACGCATCCTGAGACGGCGTCTTGTTTTTTTGCATCGTTATCATTCCTCTACGGAACTTCCCCTGACTGATTTGCCACGGGTTGTCATTTACACTGCATGAGCCGTACACAGACATTATCGGAGAGGGGAAAACTGATTTCTTTGAGGACTGCACTGTTGACGAAATTGCAGCCAAAGAAGGTAACATGCCTGAGAGGAAGACCCACTTGGAGATGGAACGATGGGATTTGCTCGTGTGCAGGGGTAAGATGTATCATAGCAACATGGGACCATGATGGGACGGCGACGATACTGGGGCCTTCATATAGCAGTTAATAGAACATGGATGATGGTGGTGAAGATGATGATACCTAATGTTCCTCCATGAGAAAACCATGCCTTATGCATGGCACGTTACTCATAACACAGAGCTCAATTTGAAAAACGAATTCTGATTCTGACGGGAGTTTAAAAGATCAAAGTGAAGATGTAACACCACCTAAGATAACTGATGCAATGTGACTAAACTATTTAAAAAAACACTAGAACTATGTTTTTTTGTATTTTACCTGCTATACAACTCTTTATCAGAAGCGACCTGGACACAAATGATCGCTCAACGAGGTGGCTTGTGGAAAGTTATAGCAACCAAGACTCAAGGTAGACAGTATGAGGTCATCGCAGCCAGTTCCACCGATGCTTTCTTCTGCCAAATGTTACAACGTTGTTGCACAATTGACACCCACCTTCTAACGTATCCGTTCACAACCTCCCACTCTTCTGGCTTCTATGCTTCCCTTTGGTCACTGGCATCTGGGTGCCACTTCAGGCCCCTTGGTGCTGTTTCAGTAACCTGACCTCAATTCTGCACAGGTGCCCCATCTATCACAACATCCTTTACCCAATTATGTCTAGAGTGTTCTCTCTTGGCCACAATCTGTTCCGAACGTCCACGTTGCTCATCCTATCCTGCCAAACTATGGAACAGCTTCACCTCACTGGGGCCCATCAGTACAGTCAGGCATGTTGAACTAAATGCTGCTGGTTGCCATAAAATATATATATTATTTGTATGTGGAGATACAGAATGTATGGTGATTATATTACATTGCAGAACATTGAAATTGTATACGCTAATTGGCGGGACAAGAGCTATGCTTGCCTGCTGCACGTATTGGTTTCTATACTTCTGTTACCTTAAATCAACAGGGCAGGTTAACCTCTGTAGGCCCCACTCCTTCCTCTTTAGGACACGCCCTTTCCTCTTTAGACTCCGCCTCATCGGAGGTGCGGATGTTAATAAAGAGGAGCGGAGTTAATTTACTTAATTGGTATTCTTAGGTTTTTTTCGGTAAAGTCACGTAGGTAAAAAATTCCGGAAGCTTGTGTTGCCTCAGAAACGTCGTGATTTTTAT